TTTGTCCATTAGCATGAATTTCTGTATTGAATATAAACTGGGTATTCTTATAGCTAAAAGATAAAACTAAATGCTTTATTAATTATTGCACAGGCTAAGCCACTGTAACAAATACTCTAAAATATAGTGGCTTAAACTTACTAAATATATAAGAATCTAGAAGTATGTGGTCTAAATTTGATACAACTCCATGTCAATAAACAGCTTCAATTTATGGGTCTGAAGCTCTACTGTCACTTTCTCCTAGCAAAAGGGGAGGGAAAATTGTCAAAGGAAGCCCAGTTCCAATCCATTAATTAAGTGTCACAATTCATTTCTGTTCACATCCCAGTGGACTTTACTTAAACACATGGCTGTACCAAACTGTAAGTGATGGTAGAATTACAATCTTTGTATTGAGTGGCACAATTGGCTGGTCCCCACAATTTCCAACAAACACTGATGAATTGTGCCCTGGTATCTCTCTTTTTAATATTTTGCATTAAAGTCAAAACATCTCACTCCGCAATTATAGTGCAAGCATTTTTTAAAAACATTTAGATAGGTTAATATAATTTTATAGAGCACTTTTGCATATATTCCTGTATCTACCTCTATAACTTTCTTTACTTGACATTGTAATGTACAATTGAAGGTAGAAAGAGTCATTCCTGTCATGAACTTGGGATCACAGATGGAACATACTGATGCAATGGAAATGCATATAATGGAATAATTATCACGTTATTATAATACTCTATAGCTTTCAGTGTTAATAGAAGTACAGGATTTTCTTTCTAGGCACAGTTCACAGCTGTTAAATATGATCAATTATTAGAAACACTTCTCTTTTTATATTTCACGCATCCATAGCATTATTTAAATATCTCTTAGAATTTCATTTCCTTGCTTAAAATTCTCTTTGAATGTCCTGATCCAGCACTGTCCAATAGAACTTTCTGTAAGGACATAAATGTTCTAAAACTGCACTGCCCAATATGGCAGCTGTGGAAGCTTCTGAGCTCTTGTAATGTGACTAGGGTGACTAAGAAACTGAATCTGTAGTTCTTGTAGTTCTGTAGAACTGACTAAGGAACTGAAACTGTGGCCTGTAGTCACCATGTTAGCGCAGTTAGTCACTCACTACTCCATCTACAAACTTATTTCCACCACGTCTATTTGAATGCATAGTATCACCCCTGAAACATCCTCAAAAGAATTTATCTACTCAACATTTATAATTTTCTCTTTCATTCTTTGGGGAAGAAATTCTGTGTTTTCAGTGTAACTTTCGCTTTAAATACATAATCACTATGTAATACTGAAAACAGTATGTGTCAGGCACTGTTCTGAGCATTTTATCCATAATATATCATTTCACTATCACAAGAAACTTGCATTGTAATTATCACCATTTTATAAATTCATAAACTGACCAACCACAGGTTAATTAATTCTGCCTAGATCAAGTAGTTAGTAAGTAACTGAGCTAGGATGTAAACCCCAGGCAACCTGGCTTCAAATCTCTGGCTCTTGCCCCATTCTTCACTCTATCATTCTGGAAGATGATTTTCATCTGTAGTGCTCTTATTCAAAATGCATCACAGTGGGGCCTTTCTAAAAACTTTATTCATATATGCATAATATCAGAAACTATTGCTTCTGGCAAGAGGTAAGAGAAAAATCAGACAATTTCTCTTCCTTTTCTATCCTATCACATTTCACTGAGCAGCAACTATGTTTGTTAAAAAGATTATCTAGAATGTTTCCTAACTTATCTTTACTAATTTGGCTCTGGGATCTTATTTTATCAGAGAGATATTAAATAAATTAGTAAACACAAGTGATAACGAACAGATGCTATATGTTTGCTCCTATTACTACAAAAGATTATTCAAAAAAATTTTTTTTCCTGGTAAACTAACAGAAAGAATTCTAAAGAATCAGGATCCATTATTTTCAGAGCTATAACATTCAGATTTAACTCAGGTCAATCATCTATAAGTTAAAATTACTTAGAAACATACTGTCCATAATTAAGTAATCTTACCTACTAATATTACAGAATAAGGATACCTGTAGGTGACATGAAATCTGTCATTTTAAGTATGCCCTGGGCCTTTACCAGATTGCTCATAAGATTTCTCATTCTCCAGAGAAATGCAATCTCTCAGAAATAAATGTCTCTGTCAAGTCACAAGTAATATGAGCACATGATTTAAAAAATGTAATGTTTTGGTCTTGTAAGGGATATTTCAGTTTTGTAAAATTGACTTGATTCCTTGTTATTTAAGTTCTCATGGTCATTTTAGGATTTACCTTCTGGACATAAAGGGAAGGTTATGATGCCTTTTAGGGAGGTGGGGGACAGACATTTTTGGGGACCAGGAGAATATTTTTCATATGAAATTCTTTGTCATAAAATGCTAATGTTGGTGTTCTTGTCTTTATGTCTATGCATTCTTTAGCTATGAGGATAACAGACCCTTCATCAAGTAAGAATGACCTGAATGGCTGATAAATCCCGTTTATCAGTGTGGTCCCATGAACCAGCTGTCAGATCAGTGCTGAAAAATCATTAGAGCTTCTGTCATTTACTTTGAGGCAGAAGAGCAAACTGTGCAGGAAAATAACCAGGCACACAACTTCTATGCAAAATAAATATGCTACAGGTGTACTGCCAAGAAAAAGAAATCTGCTTCACCTCTTTTAATTGGAGATCACCTGAATTCGGTGCCACAGTAATAGCAGCTTCATGTGGGACAGACTTGTTTCGCTTTTAGTAGCTTTCTCCTTTCATCGTGATGTGTTCCTCTGTGCTGCATCTGTCATTTCTGTTGTTTGTTTGGACATCATTCATCTAAAATTATTTTTTGATTTAGTAGTTGATCTTCAAAATGACCTATGGGTATGCAGCTACCCAATTGCAATTGATATTAATGAATTTCTTTATTAAATATCCCAAAAATTAAATTTTACAGATGCACTATTATTCCTTTCAGTTTGATACATATCGCTTGATTAATGATCTACTTGTTTATGAATATATATATTTTTTTAATTTCTGAAGCAAAGCTACAAGTCTGTACTAATCAATTAAAAATAAATGCAGATGTTAATATTTGGACATCTTAAAATTACATGTCCTGCAACAATAAGCTTTAAAATGGACATCCAATGGGTGACCTTGCTCTAGACTTTCAGTTTGTTCTTCTGGTGAAGAGTCCTTTGTTTTCATTTTCTCCAATGCCATTTCACTTATTTCTTCATCCTCTTGCTTATATTTTTCTTTAGAAATTGGGCTTATTGCAGTTTATATTATTAACTATTAGGCCCATAATGTGTTTTCTGGTAGATTATAGCTGAATTGAATATTTTATCCTATCATTTTATTTCTAAATCTACATAGCAGTTTGCCTTGATTTAATAGTGATTCTTCCCATTTTTCCTTTTTCCAATGCCTGTAAGACATTGAGAGATTTACCTTGAAAGTTCCTATATTTTTAAATCTAAGTTATAGAATCAAATGTTAACATCTAAGATCTTTTCTAAATTATATAAGCAAACATGCCACATACAATGGCAAGTCTCCTTTAGGTATTCTTTATTCAAGGTTGTTAATGTTTTAAATTAAACATGTTAAATTTAGTGGATATTTAAATCTAAAATAGAGTGGCTGATGCTGTTAAAGAAAAATGGTAAATATTTGAGATTAATTTTAATAAAACTTTAATAACAATTGACTACTCTGAGACCATATCTTTCTTAAGATGTAGTTCTCTCTGAAAACTTTTATAAAACCCAGCTTCAGATTATGGTAAACATATGTGACTTTTTCCCCCCTTCATTTTGCAAAGTTTCAGTCCCCATAAGTATGTCTTCCTTAGACAGTGTAAGTGGAAGATAATAGTCTAGTGAAAAGAAATAATAGTTTACCCTATTCAAGGAAGGTGTGCTGGGAAAGGAAAGAGTGTGTTCATGAGTTTGTAGATGTCTAGTCTGGTTTGGTCGTGTTCTCCTATATACTTACAGAGGAATAGAGAAAGATTTCACTTTCAATTATTGGATTCCAGTCTACTGGAAAGGCTCATCTATGTTGATAGTAAATACAAGACACATAACTACAAATATATGGACTTTTGTCACCTATTTATTACTATTGTGAATGGCAGCTGAGAAGAAACTAGGGGAATGGAGTGAGACTGAGAATTTGTCCTCCATTCTAGACTATTGTGTTCATACCACTCCATCCCCATCCTCAACTTCATTTTCTCCCTTGAGTTTATAGACACTTGAAAGAGATGAAGGTGTCCTGAGCCTTAAGCTTCTGTTCAATAAAGCTGCCAAGTGCCTAATTTCCAAAGTCTAGTCCAATGTAACTTAGAAAACAGCAATCCAAAAGTGAAAAAAACATCACGACGTAGAGTGGAACTTTTTTTTTCCATCCACTTGTTTCACACTTGTTCTACATAACTATAGAGTCAGACAAATAGAACTTTTCACATCTATACATGTATTCCATATACTGGTTCCTTCTGATAAGACTTCTATTTTTGTCAGTAAACACTAAAAATTGTATGGAGAAAGAGGAAATATGGAAAAATGGGGTGAAGTGTATAAGATGAAGCACAAGGAGACAGTCCAGTCAAACAAATGGTATTATACCAATGAAAGCAGTGGAAACTAACATAGCTTTATAGACTTTTTTCTCCCTTGCCATTCACCATAATTACATCTCCATATCATTTGCATATGTGCTACAAATACATGAATACTTTAATAGTACCAATCTGCTTTTGCTTAACTGAATTTCTGTGTTCATAACATATTCACATATATCTCCTGAAACTTGAAAACTTGTAGTCCCCATTAAAACTTTAAAGTACTTATGCCACTTGTCTTACATTTTCTGTCAATAAAACTACTTCAACATATTTTCAGTGTCAGTTTTGTTGATATGATATGATTGTTATTTAAAGACCATTTATTTGATAACCCTTAATTTTCTCTTCTCTTGACAGGTCATGGGTTATAGGTGCAATAGCTCTTCTCTGCCTCTTAGGATTGACCTGGGCCTTTGGACTCATGTATATTAATGAAAGCACAGTCATCATGGCATATCTCTTCACCATTTTCAATTCTCTACAGGGAATGTTTATATTCATTTTCCATTGTGTCCTGCAAAAGAAGGTAAGCTAGACTTCTCTAGTCAACAATAAATGGCATATATCTCATGATAGCAAAGTAACAATAATAAAAATCATTCTTGAGATGTTTGTTTCTAACAAATATATTACTTTGTTGATTTAATTTTTAAAATAGTAAAGATAAAACAGACACCAAATATAAGCATACTAGTTGGTAAATGTGTTTAACAGAAAAAACAAAATCAAAATATTTTCTGACTTGACATTGCACAAAAATTATATTCTTGTAGACTAGAGCTTATAGTCTTTAATATTTTTATTTGGCAGATGCATGAAAGTTGTGTATTAGAAGTAGCTTTTCTAAGATGTTATGGAGACATGATACATACACACACATATACACGGCATGGCATAGGAAACATATTTTCAGGTTCTTTAAAAAATAGTTTTTACATACCAGAAAGTATAAATGTCTAAACATTTTATGATAAAGTAACATTTATATTTTTTGAATGAATGATGAAGTACTTAGTAATGGTCTTTGTACTTCTCTTCTTTAAAAGCATCTTTTATAAAATCTATGAGTTGGGTAATTAGAATGCAATATTTAACTTTTATACTTGTATATTTTCGTGATTTTTCATATCTACAAGAATATAAAATATTTATTTGCTTTTTTTTTTAATCTCAAGATTGATTTTCTCATCTTATGCTCTTTAACTCTATGAAAAATGTGGTACTTATAGTTTTGATCACATAGACCCCTGAGCCAAGACTGCCTGGGCCTGAATCCTGGTTCCTCCACTTAAAAGCTTATGGGACTTTGGGCAAGTTAATTAACCTTTCATGCCCCATTTTCCTCATGTGTAACATAGAGGTAATAAAAATAATTATGAGATACTGAGAGGTGGCTCTGAAAATGAAATGGCAAAATGTGATTTTTTTCTGAAAAACAAGAAGACCTATTTTTTTTCCCCTTTGGAAAACAAAGAAAATAAAAAGAAATATATATATTTCTTTTTTGGTTAGTGAAACTAACCAAAGTTTTTGGTTAGTGAAACTGATGGGATATAAAATAAAAGTTGAGTAAGGTGTCCGCTTTTTTTCTATTTCAATTTTATGTGATGGTAGGGAATCAAATATATGTTGACATTATTATAAGTACAAGCTAGAATAGTAATGATGACTCAAGCCTATAAATTAAGGTTACAGGAAAATAAGAGGTTATATCAGAATGGATGAATCTTCCCAAATACTTAGTGTACACAACCCCCAAACTGTGGTTGCTGAACCCAATAAGTGTTTTTTTGTTTTACTCATGGCCGCTTGATGGAATGTGACCCATGGAGGGACACAGGCTGATGAAGGTTCAACCAAACTCAATGTATGATTTGCATTCGCCTTGGGTGTTCACATTCACAAGCAGTCTGAGAAAGAGAGAGAGGGTCTTGTGTAAAAGGTCTGAAAAAGGCTCACATCACTTCTCACTTTCCATTAAATAGGACACGATTAGTGGTACCATGTAAACAGCAAGGAAGACTGGGAAACATAGTCTAGGTTATTAATTCCAAGAAGATAAGAAATTGAGTGCTGCAAACAACTTGTGATCTACCACACTTGATGAGCATAAAGAATACAAGACATGCGAATGATGAGTAGCAATAGAGATAGAAGGAAGGGAGTGTCTGAGGAGAATCAGAATCAAGATGATACACTGAATTAAAGAAAGGAGAAAATGTCCAGAAGTTGACAGTGGTCAGTATTGTAAAACACTTCAGAGAAGCCAGAGAGACTAAGCACATGAGAAAGATTTCTACATTTTGCTAGAAGAAAGCCATAACTGATTGTCAAGAGATATACATGTAGAAAGATGGGTTGAAATGAGGAGGTTAAGGAAAAAGGTAGCATGTCCATGTAAATAGGAAATATCAGGATATCATGATCAGTTATAACATTTTCAAATATAGTGATCCAGAATTACCCATTATCTTTATTTTATATATTAGCTGGAAATTTAGACTAACAAAATTTTACACTTTAATGTTAATATAGAAATTTTCTACAGAGCAGAAAATATTTTTTGTACTTTATATATTAACTATTTTGGTTTTGAGTATTTTTTATTAGCCAATGCCTATTAGAATTTTCCCACTTATTTTTATTATTTTTCTAGTCTTACAAATACACATCGCTGGTATAACTACAAAATGCATTTGATATTGAGGAAGAGATACTGAACCTCAAGATTGAAAAATGAGTCTAGAGTTTTTAGTATGTTTAGCATAACTGAAATTTTTAAAAATATGTCATCAAACTCAATTTTGTGAATCACTATAGAATAGAGTTCAGCAAACTACATATCATAAGCCAGATTTATCCATCTGGCTTTAATCTTTATGGCAAGTCAGCCAAAAATGATTTTTATATTTTTAAATGGTTACATTTAAAATTTTAAATAGGTACACATACAATATCCGTGGTTTTGCCTCTTGGCTCACAAAGCCTAAAATATTGACTATCTGACCCTCCATGAAAAAAAATTGCCAAGCCCTTATTAGAAGCTTACTTTTGTGATTTATAATCACAAGTAATACCATATTGTTCTTTTATCCATTCTGTGTTTTGAACTTTTCAATTTTGGTGGCATTTTTATTGGTGTCAAGAACATGGCCCAAATCAGCAAATATAGAAAACATTGAATTATCATTGGCTTTTTATTTTTTCCTACAATAAAATATCAGGTATTTCTTTGTGAAATTGCAGGAATAGTCTTAGGAGATATTTCTTGTATTCTTTTTGTTAATTGAGATATGACATTCTGTAGGATTAAGGTGTACAGGGCAATGATTTGATATACGCAGATATTGTAAAATGATTATCACCATAGTGTTAGCTAATATCTTTGTCACCTCACATAATTACTATTTCTTTAATGTGGTGAGAACATTTAAGATATCTCTTAGCAACTTTCGAGTATATGATACAGTATTGTTAACTGGAATCGTCATCCTGTACATTAGGTCCCCAGAACTTTTTCATCTTATAGCTTGAATTTTATACATTTTGACCAACGTTTCTTCATTTCCCCACCCCAAACCTCGGGTAACCACCATTTTTTTTCTGTTTCTATGAGTTTGGCTTTTTTAGATTCCACATATAAGTGATATCATATAGTATTTTGTTTCTCCATCTGACTTTTTTCACTTAGCATAATGCCCTCAGATCTATCCATGTTGTCGAAAATGGCAGGATTTCCTTCTCTCTCATGGCTGAAAAAAAACTCCATTGCATATATGTATTACATTTTTTTATCCATTCATTCATTTCTGGACACCGGTTGTTTCCATATCTTGGCTATTGTGAATAATGCTTCAGTGGACATGGGAATGCAGATATCTCTGTGAGATCCTGAGTTCAATTCCTTTGGATGTATACCCAGAGGTGGGATTGCTAGATCATATAGTGGTTCTATTTGTAATTGTTTGAGGAGCCTCCAGTGTTTTCCATAGTGACTGTACCAGTTTATGTTCCCACCAAACAGCGCGCAAGGGA